ACTGGAACTAGAGGTGATACACGACCACTACAAATTGCATACAATACGACACCAGCTAAATAAAGTGTAATGGAAAGATCAATAAACAATAAGTGGCAACAACTGAAAATGGCAATTTGAAATTTTAATTTTAATTTTTTTAAAATTTATGATTAAGTAAATCCGGGTACGAAAAGCTACAAATGCTAATAAATGTAAAATAATAAAGAAAGTTGTGGGGAGTAACTGATAAAAATCCGATAAAAATCTTTAGTAAGCAGGATAAATAGGGTAAAAGGTGGGAATTAATCAAGCAATGAATCCAGTTAAATTGGGTTTAAGGCTACAGTTTTTTTTAGGTCACAACAACACAGATAATCAAAATGATACACATTTAAAATGAAACAGTAATATCAACCAATGATAAAAAGAGAACAACGACTCCCTGTTGTTTAGTTGACCTCATGTATGCTTGTGTCATATCCCTCTGTCAAGTAGCTCCAGGTTCAGAATTCACTCCAAGTGCATATAGACTTGGAACAGATGTTGAAATAGAACTAGTGGAGTAACTCAATGGGTGACTTGATCGTGCAGTAGTTTTATAATTTCCTAGTATTAATGGTGCACTGTGAAATCTGGAAAGTGCTATAGGTGAACCTTGCGAGGAACTGTACTTCTTGGGACTCCATCTTCTTGTTGATGTAGTAAATTTCACTTCCAAGATCAAGTTAGTATCTATGGTCACCGGCTAGAGAAAGTTGCCGAAAGTGGGTTATGAGTGATGATGTGAGGTGAACTTGAATTTGTGGTTTGTGGCTGGAGGGTTAGTGAATGTGTGATGGTGTGCTGGGAGGAGAAAAAAGTTAACAGCTTATGTCATCGATTTAGGGGCCGCCTGCGAGTAGAGTAGTGATGTCGATGGCTACAGTTGAGAGGTGTTACGGTAAAGGGTGGTGCTGATTGAGTGTGATGCATGCAATTTGGGATTGCCGACGTGGCACTGGGCGTCGGCGATTTGAGATTTGCAGCTGTCAGAGAGTGAGGAGATGAATGCGACAGGTTGAATCGGGTTTTGGGTTGTGGTTGTTGGTGACTCAATTGGGTTGTGGTTGCAGGCGACGGGAAGGAGATGAAGTGGTCGAAGGTGCCGGGATGAGGAGGCTGCCGGAGGTTAGGGAGGGAATCGGGCTTGGAGATGAAAAGTAAGTAGGCGAGAGATTGTTATATGGGCTTGGAGCAGATGGGGGTGATGAAATGAATTTAGTGGTGTCAACGAGCCGAGCTCGAGCTTTTTTCGGCTTGAGCCGAGCCCGGCCAAAAAAAATAAAGCTCGGCCCGAGCCTTAGCGGGCCGAGCCGGCTCGATTTTTTATTTTTTTTTTTAAATTTTTTTCAGCTATTTTAGATTTTTTTAAATTTTTTTTATTAATCACTGGCCGGGTCGGGCCGGGCAGGCTCGGGCCGACCTCCTAAAATGGGGCTCGGCCCGGCTCGGGCTTTTTTCGGGCCAAGCCCGAGCCGTCTGAGCCAGTGAACTTTTTTGCCACCATTAAATGAATTGGGCTTAGGGGTTGGGATTAATTGGGTTTAATAGTTTGGGTCTGGGTGGAGATAATAGGTTGGGAAAATTAGGCCATGTACTTCTATTTCATCAAAATTTTGAAAAATCCTTCAAACTTAAATTTTATCACTGGATACGATTTTTTACCAAATATTCCAACGTAAATCTTTTCAAATCAAACCAACTTCATAATCCTCATTCCATTCTCCATTCCCTTTACTCCAAGATTCTCCCAAGTGCACAAAGACCCATTGTAAACAAGATGCGTAGTGGAAAGCTCACAAATTCTGCACTATGACCATATCTCCCTTCCCACCCACCATATGCTTCCCTGCCAATATCCTCATCAAAGTCGTATTCCGGGTTCAATCAAAAAATTGCAAAAATAAAACAATTACATTTCTCAGTAAAAAAAATGAACCAAATCCATTGGCGCCGATAAGGAAACACCGAGTTCCAACTGAGATATTGAGGTTGAAGGCCTAAAAAATGAACCAATTTGATAAATATTAAATCACTTAAGGACAGTAATTAATACGTTATAAAATCCAAAACCTATAAAAAAAAATCATATATCTTATCCACGACCCCCACTGTAAACACTAAGTACCATTTCATCCACCTAAAACCCTCAACTTCTCGTAAAATTCATCCAAAATCATAGAGAAATTGCAAAATGTCGATGATTCCGAGCTTTTCAGCCATTGACCAAAGTTTTACGACCCATATCGTCTCCTTTTTCGACTCTTCCAACGAGATTAAAACAATCTCTGTGTCCGAATTGATTTCCGATAAAAGCTATTCTCTTTGCGGTTCTGAGAATGTTTACTCCCACTTGTTCCCAGAAAAATCTCCCGGGGTTCGTCGAGAAAGCTTGAGAGTTAAAGGCCAAGGGGATGGATACAATTGCGCACATTTCTGTTGATGATGAGTTTGTGATAAAAG